TTATCTAATGTGACTTTCCCACAAATTGTAGTTTGTTTTTTTTGTTTTGCTTTATATTTTTTTCTTTATAAGTTTGGTTGATTTTTTGTTATTTTAAACACACTTTTATCCAAAAGGAACAAAAAACATTTTTTTTATTTTAAATAATAATATTATTTTTAATAATATTAATAATAAAATAAATACAATCATATACATCCATTTTATTAGAGTTTTCCTTCATCATTTCATTGATTTCTTCAATGTTGTCTCGTACACTACAAAGCATCACTTATTTACAAGCTAAACAATGTAGTTTCAATATCATTTAACAATTTTTAACAGAAACACCTTATTGTTAGTTTGAAATTTAGCCAATAAAAGACAATGGACTCTCGAATTTTTGATTTTAGAAACTATTTGTTTCGTTTTCTTTAAAAAATTGCTATTAAAATATTTTCAGCAATCACATTTTTATATCAAATCCAATTTGTGGTAAAAACACCCAAAGTGTGTTTTTCGCTTCATTTATATCTTCTTTGATATTGTTTGCGTTGTCGGATATTATAACGAACTTTCCAACCCTTTTTAATCCCCATTTTCGACTGTTTGTTTGATAAAAATGGCAATATTTTAACTGGAATATACTTCAGGGAATGGCATCAACTCTAACTTAAATTTTCTTACAACAGTTCCATAAGAATAGTGCAGCGTAAAACCAAAAAACGAATCTTGGTTTCTGGAAGACCACCCATCGATGATTCCACACATCCTTCCATCAATTTTGGTGGATTCATTTTTTACTAATTTGTATATACAATCTTCAATTTGGGGAGACGTTCATCAATCATGGTTTATCTACATAATGTTTTATACCCGGAACACGCCTGTTCGAGTAATAAAAACATCCCATTCCACCAATGAAATAAGTACAAAGGAGTGAGTCAATAAAAAGAATATCACTTTGTCGATATTTCTGTGGATAACAAAAGGATCTCGAACACCTCTATTATTTGTTAATGATGATGTCACATGAAGGGTTTCTATGTTACGTGATATCTCCAAATGTTTTGCCATATTTTTCGTCGTTACTACTCCTGAATTGGACTGGTGACATTTGTTTTTTCTTTACATCCCAAGCATGACAATCTCCAGAAAATGTCACTTATAGTTTTTTAAACAAGTTTGTATTTATTGTTTCATTCTAATATAAACATTTATTTTTTGTATGAGTTAATGGTTTTTTCTTCTCGAGTCTCCCTTTCAAAGTACATTTCTTCAAGTTTGGAATGATTCCAAATAAAACTAAACACTTTCGCGATTGGTTTTTGTATTAAATTTTAGATTATAGATAACTTGAAAACAAAAATTATAATTGAAAATTAAGGTCAAGCAGGTTTAATATTATAGTAAATATAAAAAAACTATCATTTTAGATGTTTTGATAATAAATAGACAAGAATGGGAAAATATAAAATTGGTTAGATAGTGTGTGTTTCGAGTTTTTATTTTTATAAAGAACGGGGTTTAAAACCAATCTAGGTAAATGGTTTTATATAATAATCAAAATGTTTTTTAGTTACTGTATTGTTTATTTGATTATTATTATGAATAAAAATATAGTTTTAATATAATTAAGAAGTGTATTTATTTAGTAAAAAAAATAATTATAAAAAAGATAATAAATAATTTTTGTATTTAAAATAAATTGTTTGCAAAAGCCAAATTTTAAGTTGTTCAATTATTTTTAAGAACTTTCCATTTCGAATAGTTTTATTGCTTGTGTTTGTTGGTTATAAAACTTTATGTTTGTCAAACAAACTTGTTTTGTAATTAATCAGACAAACAATTTAAAAAAAAATATTTTAAAAACAACATGTTTAATAAAAGTTTGTTTATAAAAAAAACAAAAAAGTTTTGACCCCGTTTGTCTGTTTTTTTGACAACACCGGTTCAAGAATGTTTGAACATTGTCTCTGTGAATAAACTTAAAATTGTCAACCGTCATTGAAAATGAGTTTTTATGATGTTTAAATATATTTATTTATTCGCTGAGTTAATTATTGTCTAAATGTGTTTATTTTCATTGGTTGTTTGTGTTTATTGTTTTGAGAATTCAAACATAGTTTTGAAACAAAATAAATATGATTTTATTCTCGAATTTAAAAAAATGTAAAAAATAAGACAAAAATGGATGTATAAAATTGGGATATTAGGAAACAAACCTGTTACATTGTTTAATTGATGGTTACAAAAAACGCTCAAGTTATATAACTTGTGAATGTGTTACATAACTTTACGATTTTGTTGTACTTTCTCTTAAACATTTAGAAATTGTGATAAAAATAATGTTGAAATGAAAAAATTGAAATTTATTTGAATTGTCTTTTTTTATTTTATTGATTAAATTTTCAGCGACAACACAATTCAAGAATCAATAATATGACAATAAATAGGCTTTTTATTTGTAATTAAATATGTTTAATAAATAAAATAAGAAAGATTAAATAAGGAGCACGAAAAATAAAACAATTTTTTAATACCAAAATTGATATTTGATGTGTTTCAGATTTTTTAAGTTGTTTTAAAAATCGAATTGGAATGTCCAAAAATATGTAATATTCCAAGTTAACAATTTAAAGTTTATGTATATTTGTTTCTAAACAAAGGTATTATTATATACAAGATAAATATAATTGATTCTCAATAGTAGTATACATACTTTTATAAAATGTGCAGAAATATTTTTTTTATAATAATGTTGTTTTTTTCTTAATGATACCTTCGATTATTCAAATATTATAACCAACTAAAATCTAACAGATGTCATCATTATTTAATAATAAAGATTGACCAAATTCTGTGACATAGTTAAAATAATTAAATTATTATAAAAAAGTTAGTGAGTAAATTTCAATAAAAAAACAGTAATATAGTTATAACAAGTAAAATAACTTATGTAATTCATCCTTTTATTGAAATTGAAACCAACTTTTTAAATGACATGATTAATGTTATTTTATAACAAAAATATTGTTTCATTTCAGCATTTTAAAAATGTTTATTTTTGTGGTGATTATAATTTTTTTGTTGTAAAAAATAATTAATAACTTGAAGTTTATTTTGTTGCAAACTTTATTTACTTAAAATATAAAGGACTATACTTTATATTATATTAATAAATTTATAAATTTATATTTTTAGTTTAAAACTTTTAAACCCAAATTCAAGTAAACAAACTCATTTTACAAAATAGTGACCAAATACACTTTTAAACTCTGTTATGATTTAAGATTTAAAAATAATTTTTCAAACTAATTAAAAAAGTAAAAAAATACGAATGTAAAATCTTTTCAAAAACCCCGAAAAATCCATCTAATTTCGGATTACATAATTTGTGCTTGTTTTTTAACGTATAAATACGAATAAGTTGTTTTTTAAACACGTTTTATTATAACAAAAATAACTCAACTTTTTGTTTACATTTGTATTTGTGTTTTAAAATAACATGTTTCAATTGTAAACATTTAATTACATTATTTGAAAAAAATCAAGTTATGATGTAATTTTTATTTTTTATTATTTTTATGTATTAAAATTTTTATCGCATAAAAAATGTATTTGTTTATATAATGTTAATAACGTATTACACCATTTCAAGCAATCGAATCCAAAATAATTTTTGGTCTTTATTATAATGAATGTGTTATTATATCATATAAATCCTGTTTGCTTTCAAAACAATGATTTATGTTTGTTGTTTTCATCGTAATATTTAAAAAGGGTATTAAAGATATAATTAATGAAAAATGTAGTTAACAAAGATAACAAAACTTCAAATGTAAATTTGTACGTTATTTAATTTAAATGAAAAATTTAAAATTTTTTGAATAGTGTTTGCGATTTTTTCTTTTTTTAATTATTTAAAAGAAAACGAAGAAACACATGTTTAAAAATCGTACTATTGTAAAAAATCTATATCATATAAGAGTGTGTTTTAATTATTTAATATTTTGAAAACAAAAATTTAATTTTTAATATTTTTATAATAATAATTAAAAAAATAATAAATTTCAAGTAAATACACTTACACAATGAAACGTATTATTGTGTCTTAACAAAAATACAAATAAATGGTCAAATTTTTATTGTTCTGTTTAACGCACAATAATTAAAATATTTTTTGAAAAGATTTTAAAATTTGGATTATGTTTTTCTGGCCGATACTCATTTTTGAATAAAAAACATGTATTTTGTAATAATAATTGATAAAAAATCACAAAATTAATTAAACAAACAATTAAATTTTAATAACACAAAAAATATTTATTAACAATTGATAATTATATTTTGAATCTACATGTTCAAAAAAAAACATTTGAAATTGAAACATATTCAAACGTTTCAAAAATCTTAATAATCGTTTGGGTTTCTCCTGATTATAATTTTAATGGTTAAAGGCCACGAGTCAATTGTCACATGGAAAAATAATTAAATGTTTAAATTATTTTCTTTTAATTTACAAAAAAATAAGCGCTAACTAAAACAAATTAACAAATAACATTTTATAAAGTAATAAACGGAAAGATAGTATTGTTTTGACAATGATGTTATTTGCCATATAGATAATGTAAGAAAGGATCAAACTTAAAGTGTGATTTATAAAGATACTATATTTATCTGTAATATTAAAAACGACGAATTAATATTGCGATAAAACACAATTATTATTACGAATATATTTTAAAAATGATTATATCACTCTTGTACTACATTGTCTGTTACAATTAAATATAATTTCATTTTCGAAATTGTTAAAGCATTTCAATTTGAAAATATATTTATTTATTGTATGTTTTATGATAATTTTTTTTTATCCTTTTGACAAACAAATAAAAAAAATATATACTTTTATTTATCAAACAGTATAATTATTAAATTGTATTACATATTATAATAAATTATATAATACATTATAATACATAAATTGGTAAATATGAAAAATAGGAATAAAAAAAGGATCAAATTAATTCATCGTCGAGTTGTTCTCCAACAACATCTGTCACGTCGAATGCCCCCTGTTCAAACCATCTCAAGAAAGAGTTAAAAGCGTTATCTCTTGTGTACATAGTTGTTACATAATTGTTATACATTTTGAAAAGCAAAAAGGTGACGACGCCACCAATGTATATATCAACAAAGTAGTGCAAATGTGTCATACAAAAGAGCAACACGCCGAACAGAAAGTACACCCAGGCGAACAGTGAAGTGAGTGATACCCCGAGTGGATACCCCGTCTTAGAAACCATTTTCCGACACTTTCCACATACATCCACATCGAGAATTGGCACAACACCAGCGTAATGATGCCACATAAGTGTACATAACATGATAGAAGCCGTGTGTCCCGAGAACATACAGTCATAAGTAGTCTTATGGATCCCAAACATCAAGTAAAATCCTTCAATGAATGGGTTGTATTTGATGTCACTTTGAGAGAGTGAAGGGTCCGGCATAATCGTGAAGAATATCGAGAACGATCGCATCAAGAAAAGAACGCCATTCAATAAGAAGTAGCGCTTCACTATGCACGAGCGATACTTTGAAAAGAGAAATCTGAAATTCGAAAAGACAATATACGAACCAATGTATACGTCACAGATCCACGATTGTTTGAGATGCGGAAGAATTTTGAAAAAAAAGTCTGGAAGAATTAAGTCACGCGGAATGTCCGGATTCATCGAAAGCCATTTTGTGTATCGCTCTTGCGCAAAGACTTGAAACACACTATTCCAATACCCACAACATATGAACCAGAAGATCGAAAACAAGACCGGTAAAAACTTCTTGAACTCCTTGAATGAACTGTACGTCGCACCAATGTCTATACACGTCGTTTTAAATATCGCAAGACCGGCTGGTGGAACTGTTGGGTCGGAAATCTCAATAAGAATCTCTCGAGACATTGAATGATTTGTTTTGTTAATTTTAAAAGGAAAAAGTTTTCAAATGGTTTCAAATATGATTTGTTTAAGTTAATAGACTAGAGCAATATAATAGTATAACAATCTATTAAGTATACTATAAATAAGTGTAAAAACATAATTTATAATTAACAATTTAATTCATATCAATAATTAACGTATAATGGAATTATAGTTTTTAATTTAAATGTTATAGTTTATCTAAAAATGTTATTTATATTAGTTTTTTTGTTAATATACTTATTATAATAAAATTACTAATAACTAAACCAAATATATTTATAATATAAAACTATACAATATAATTAAAACCAAAAATAAAAACCCCAGTTTTTTTCCAAATTTTATAAAAAATACATTTTTCCAAAAAAATACAATAAAATTATCATAATAAATAATATATAGTATTTTTTAATTATAATAAATTATAATTCCATAATTATATATTAAATAATAAACAACTCAATAAATTAAATGTCACATCTACGCGCTAGTTCCGACATCATCAAATCACACCAAAAAGACAATCAAGTACTTCGCAATAAACGCCGTGAAGAACTTATTATAAAGAAGCGGAATATTGAATCCACACAACTCACCAATTCTTCCTCTCAAGGAGATGACCTTTACATTCACTCTACCAAACAAAAGAAATTGACTCATTCCCAACTAACCTTTGTGATCAGAACTTTAGAAAATCCGATGAATCCAAACAACGTTTTAGAGGCACTGACACTCCTCGAAACGTCCCCTCCTCAACCGATATCCACACAACTCATCCGCCTCTTTACGTTATTTCAAGACGTCCCTGCTATTGTCTCTAAAGCGTTTTCAGTGATCTCCCTCTGGCAATATCAAGACCAAAAATTCAGTTACGAGTTATTCAACATCTTGCCACTCTCCTTCTTCCACGAATACCTCCGCGGGCAGAACATCCTCTACGTGTGCTCCTCGTTGATTATTATCAGCAACTTCGTGAACGACGGAGGGAAGATGAGTACCCAACTCTACAACGAGTACTCCGCAGAGCTCTTCCAGTTACTCCACTGCTCTGTCGAACAAGTCCAAATCAACGCAGCACTTGTCTTCACCAATTTACTCATGGCAAAACCATTTGTTGGAATGGACATCGCGAAGACGGCGGTTGCGGTGTGTGTCGAAGCAATCGCTTCCAAGTCGGAACTCCTTATAACCAATTCGTTGATAGCGCTGAGGAACTTTTCGTGTAACAAAGACCCTCAAGTTGACTCTGTGATGAGCACCAATGCGATGGGGATTTGGGAGAAGTTTGTTTTAGTTCCAAAAGACGTATTCGATAAAAATCTGGCGACTGTTGCGGTAATTCTGTCGAACAGTTTGATGTCGAACAGCACGACGTTGATGAATAAAATACTCGAGACGAATATTGTCGAAACAATTGCGTCGCTTGTGAGAACGAACGACGACATGATGTGTAAGAATGGGTTGTTCTTCTTCGAGAATTTCATTGTGGACAACAACAGGGAGGTGTCGTTCAATTTGTGCGAGAGAGTCTCCCGTCTTGGGATCGCCGAAATTGCAAATGAAGTTGTCGCAAAGCAAATAAGAAGTCTGGCGACTGTTGGAGAGGCGATGAGGTTCTGGGTCAATTACTTTGACTTATGTTCTATTGAACGAATACGACCATTTTACAACAATCAAATGTTTATAGATGCTCTTAAAAGGATAATGGATGTGACTGATGTCCGGATGGTAGTGAAGGTGATGTTGATAGTGAGAAGGATATGTGTTGATTATCAACAAAGTGGCGTGTCGGTACAAGACTTTTTGGATGGGAATAGTCTTACTGATACCATTGTGATGTTTACTGTTTGTATTCTACGATGTATAGATTATTATAGTTCTTTTATTCATATTAGTATAATATACTTGTAATTAATATATTATTATAAATATATTATAAGTATTTTAATATTGACAAACAGACACAAAGCGAGTCGACGAAGTTACGAAATGTCGCGATTAACATCACTAAAATGTATAACGACGACTCGGAGTTTTAATATAATACTGTGGTGTAGTTTAGTAGTTCATTATAGTAATACAAATCAAGAAGAGAATACAACATATAACACGGTATTGTGGTCTTAATTAGAGTTTGAAGGCAATGATATAGATCACAATAAATATGACGATTGCACCAACAGCTAACACAAGAAGATGCCCCATCCCAACTTCCCCAAAGAGACGCTTTAATCGCTCTCGCGTTGCTCCCAAATATTCAAACATCGAATCCATTTGACTTTCCTTCTTGTGAATGTCTTGCACTTGAAAAGATGTCGCGGAACTATTTGAAATGCATTGTTAAGTGAGTAAGTAATACCAAACCATTGAACTGATCCTCCTCCCATCATCAATCACGGTATCATTTAAATAATTCGCAGACACTTTCAGCCTTGAAATAGAGTCCGTGAGTGACCCTATCCGTTCTTCATTCTCTACATTCATCGCGTCGTCGTTCACATCAAGTTCCTCATCATGTGGTTCACGTTGTCGGGACATATTATCTCTTTTTCTGGTTCTCATGCGACATCTCTCGTATAATACATATATCGTAAAATTATAGTAACAGTATAGTAATAGACTATTAGTATTGTTATAATAACATTATACTATAGAATAGTATTATAGTTTAGAATTGGACACTTTTTTGTATAATACATTTATAGTAAAAATGGTATAATATTATTCTGAAATACTCAAATTGGTAGTATGCTACACTTATAGTATAATTATAATATAAATATTAGAAAAGATAGTACTGACAAGAACACTCACTAATCAGTCAAACAACAGGACATAGTCGCCACTCCTCGTCTGCACTGAAGTGTCGACTTGAAGGACTTTCTGGCCTTTCTGAGTGATGTTAGTGAAGTTCAAAGCACTTGCCGAGAAGTTAGTCTCGAAGGTTATCCAACCGAAAGGGACATCGCACTTTACTGCATTTCTTTCTTTGAAGAGGAGTTCTATAGCGAAGTGTTCGTTCACTAGGAATTGAGTGTGATGGGGTGATTGAATACGACAAACAAACACTTTTGAGTAGCATTTTTGCCAAGTAACACAAAGACTGTTCTTCCGATCACGGTGTAATTTTCTACGGTTTTAATCACATCGACGTCATCGGGACATGTGAAACAAAACGCGTGGACGTACGTCCCTCCTATTGCGTTGTATGAGACATTCATTATCAATTTGTTGTGTTCTGTCGCAATGGTTCCTGTTAACACAACTGGAAACGTTTTGACGTCGGTCTCATATGAGAACACGGGAACACACCCATGTGGGTTGTTCCATGTTAAAACCCCATTTTGGACTTCTCCTTCAAACAACGGATTGATATGAACCTTCTGAAGAGTCGTGTCGGTGATCAATTGAAGACTTTGAATGCCTTCTGTGTATAATTTCATGCGAAGAGATCCTCGAAGCTTCACATCTTTCACATCGCCATCGGGTCGAAATGTCACATTGATCTCCTCAAAGTGCTCGACATACAATTTGTCAACTTGAATGCGTTTGTGCTGTGCCGGCAACACGTTAAATCGGTCGACTTTCTCATATGCAATGAAATTTGCGGTCTCCATCGGTGGGGTCTTTGCGACAGGGTGGTCCATCGCATCATCCAAAAAGTCAAAATCGCTTCCTTTGCGACAAAAGTAATTGTCTGTTATTTTATCGCAAGCCCTCCTCTGTTGAGTTCCACGTTCAAAGTCGACCATTTCGATCTCCGTCTCCAAAGTGCTAGGGAGGGGAGAAGTCCTCAAGACGTCAAATTGGTCGTATGAGTGTAACACGCCATTTCCAATCGATTCGTAAAGAATTGAGTCGATCAGTGTGACATTCGCCAAGACATTACTTTCGTTAATCGTGATGAATTGTTGTATAAAGTCGACTATCGTCGTGAGGATCAACACTGATGAATTCAGAGAGTCCTTTGTTGTGAGGACAAAATAACATCCATTCCTCAATAGATGGTAACATAGACTCCTCTTGTAATGAAGCACATTCGTAGGTTTCGCATTGGACAACACTACTTCTGTTATAAAAATTTCTATCACTTCCTTCGTCTCGGACTTCATCGGTCCTACTTGCGTATAATAAAGACGGGAACCTTTACTGTTGTATATCGAAAATGTTGTTATCATGACTAACTTTTCTAGTTATTGTTCCTTCAAGTTTTCATTGGTAAAATATTTAACGAGTAATTCGTAATTAACGTGCTATTCAATTAACGACTTTTTTAAGTATAAATTTATAGTTTTTAACTATAAAAGAATAATAAAAAGATAACAGTAATTAGATGGCAATAGTAAAAAATAAACTCGTTAATTTACATGTTTATAACGGTAGCTTCAAATTCGCAAATTATATTCTTCCTTATTTTTTGCACCAAAAAAATGCAAGTGAAAATTCAATCCGATAAAATAATCAATCAAAATCTCGTGTATCTTTGGTCCATTAGTACGGACAGTCTTTACTGATATGACCGGGCCACCCACATTTAAAACAGGGACGGTCTTGTTTTGAGAAGTTTTGATCGTTTTTATGTGGGCAATTAGCTGAGTCGTGGACTTCCCCACAGATGAAACATTTCTTATTAATGAATAACTTCTTTGTTTCGGATTCTTGAATTAAAATCTTATGTCCACGGAACTTCTTCATCCGATCTTTGTTGGCTAACATCCGGTTTTTGTCCGCCTCCGTTGCAAATTCTAAGAAGCCAAACCCTTTTGATTGGTGTGAAGCGTCTAAGGGAAGACGACAAGACGTTGGGTTGTATTCTTTAAAAAATTCCAAGAAGGTGTCGTGTGTGATTTCTTTAGGTAAACGAGTGACAAAGACATTATATATATATTTGTATGCGGGGTCTTCTTGAGTCGAGGTAGGGTTTTGTTTCTTTTGATTCTTTGTATCGTCCTCTTGTAATGACTTTTGAGTGGAAGTTGTTGGTTGTAGCTTTTCTTCTGTGGTAAGTTGTGTTGGTGTGTCGTTGGTTTCTTTAATTTCTTCACTACTTTCACTACTCTCAGTACTAGTAGTACTCTCAGCACTCTTCTCTTCTTTCGAATCGGTTGATTCACTCGATTCACTCGATGAAACTTCTTTCTCTTGATCTTCCGATGACATACTGAAATGGTTTCCAGTTAAAGTCTATAAATAGAAACCCTTATGAATGAGAAATAAGACGTTTTCTTATTTAAAAGAATGCTATGAAACTATATATTAAATTATATGTCTACCACTCGACAATTGTTTAACTTTGAAATTAAAATGTGAAATACTAACTCAATGTGTGACAAGTCACTCACACTACAATATTCTCCTCCCCGTCTTCTAGTGCACTTCCAATCTTCTCTTCTTCTTTATGTTCGTCGACTTTGCTCTCATCTTTGCCACTTTCAATTTTCACTGCATATGGATTCTCTTCTTCCTCTTCACTTTTCTCTTCTTCTTTCTTGTCATTCTTTATCTCGCCATCTTCGCAGTCACTAACTATCTCCTCGTGATCCTGTTTAACTGTGTAATCAATGTCAAACACATTTGTAGTGGCATTAAGCCATCCGCTCATCGTCTTCTCAAGAAGTGCCTTTTGTTTCGCAATCGCCACCTTCCCTATCGCAAATTTATTTGTTTCTTTCGTCAGCCTTTTGACCTTCGTCTCGTCAAATGTGACGACTCTGCTCTCGCAGTTCTTATAAATGTCCTCCTCCCCTATGATCGTCGCCAACTCAAACAGCGACTTATTCAAATATTGACTTTCGCTCGGAAAGTTCAATTCTACTTGCCCAGAAATACTCAGCTCCTTCCCCATCTTATATATGACACTCCGACAGTTAATCCCCTGCGCAAGTGTCGTCCCATCAAAACAGACGCAAATCGAACCTTCTTCGTTGTCGACAGAGATCTTCTTTATGATATTCAACCAACGCACCTCACTCTCTCCACTCGCGCTAATCTTTTTGTTTCGACTATTCACCACGTCCATGTCAATTTTAAAGATATGCGACGTTTTAGTCGACGATATCACTACAATAGAACTGTCAATTGACGTCTCAATATGTGTGATCACCCCTTTTGTCGTACCACGATTTAACACAAATAAGTGGTCCTCCCCACCACTTGGATTGATCCGATAGACGTTGAAGAGGTACCCCTTGTCGTCGCACGTGATCAATAACTCGCCTTTGTGGTCAAACGCCATTGCGCGGATCCTCGACGTTGTCGCGCAGAAGTGGCAGATCCGTTGAATTGTTTTAGTCGCGGGCGCTGCGCGGAAGTCGCCGACGATGACAAATTCCTTTTTAGCTTCCTCCTCGTCCGGTTTCTCGCTTTTTGTCCCATACACCGCCTTCTGCAAATTGTCAGTCAACCAGGAGACTCCCGTCGTGAGCTTTTCTGTAGCGATGGAGCCCAAACTCTGTGGTGGGACGTTGTAAGTGAGTGGTGCTTCGTAAGTTGGATATGCGATATAAGCGGAGCTGACCGCCAAAGGGCGAGAGTTGATGAGATAAAGAGTAGATTGGAAGGAGGCGAGATATGTTGGAGGAAGTGTGTTGATGTTATACATATGAAGAGCACCTTCGGGAGTCAAAGCGAATAAATATGAATTGTTGAGAACAAATTGCGAGTACGGATTAGTAAAGAAAGAACTTGCGACAGGCCCGGTAGTGTCGAAGGTCACCGATACTAATTGATTGTTACGAGTAACAAAGAATAGAATGGGAGGCGGATGTTTGGAAAAGGCCGCGTACATCGGAATGGCATTGTCTTCAACAGGATATGTAAAGAGCTCCGTAAAGCTTTCTAAGTTCTCACAATCCCAAACACGAATGCCATGATACTCACATATGATACAACACCGACGAAGCTCCCCATCTTCTTTGGGATAATAATCAAAGGAAATGGATTGGACGGAGATCGTTGGAGAAGTACCTTTTATTGTGGTACTTAACTTCGGAGGTTGACGGTCGTCATAACATTTGATGAATGGCGCAATCTGTGGATGTGACATGAATTCTCTTTTTTGAGTTGTAAAAAGGAGATATTATTAGAATAAAGTCATTAAACTTATGAGCAATTTTGGTGATCGTTTCAGGCGGAATATAACTGTTTAATCACTTTATAAAACAAAAAAATTAATGCAATAGAATATTGATAATTTATTAATCGTTTGAAAATAGTATTTTTTTTACTTTTTATATTATAATATATATACTATAATTTATTAATAGTTTAATATATAAAAAAATAAATAATGATTGGTCTGTGTATTTTTTAAAAAAATAACATTTATCGTTCATTTATCCAATTAAATTAAGTCGATTAACAAAATGATCAACGTGACTGAAGCTTGGCATACAAATGTTTAAATGTGTATAATTTATAATATTTTAATAATAAAATTTAAATTTAACACGTTCAAAACAGAAACGTAATAATAATAAGTTTTTATTTTTTTCTTTTACCTAAACCCTTTTTTTGCCTTCATACACAAAACAAATTTTTGAAATTTTTTATTTATTTTTTTATCAACTTAAATTTGAATTGTATATTTTATAGTCACACTTAAAGTGAATGAGTTTGTTTGTGTAAAACAAGAGCAAAGCTTAAAAAAGAAAGATGGGGTCTAATGATGGTTTGATATATTTGGTTGTTTTTATATAAAGAGAATATTGTCATTTGATTATAACGATATTGGTGTTTATATTGTCGTTATATTTGTTAATGCGACTATTTGACGTTGTTTGTTATTAAATGGATTGACGATGTAGCGTTTTTATATTAAATGTTGAAACACAATAAAGCGATATGAGATTTCATCCAAAAGATTATTTTTGATCAATCTTAGGTAATTGAGTTCTCATTTGTTAATTATTTTAAGTAAAATAAAACTGACTATTGGCTGGTGTTGGTTAGAAAGGGGTTTTTGAATAAAAAATAATAAAAAATGATTTGGACAATTTCCTTTTTACTTATTTTTCTTCTTAAAAAAAAGTTTTGGGTTGTGAAAGTGTTAACTGAAAAAAAATTTGATTACAGAAAATAATCAAAGTTATGATATTGACAATTAGATTGAAAAACAATTAGAGTAAGTTGTAAAACGTTGTCCCAGTCGCCAACGTTGTCCCGCTTAGAATATTCTCTTTTGTGTGGAATCATTCTACGATATATTCAATAACCGTCATTGTAAAAACAACAAAAATGTTTTTAATTTTGTTTTTATTTTAAATTATTTTTTTTTCGAAACATTACAAAAACTTAGAAAATAATCATTAACTTATTTAGTTCTCTTTTCCTTCTTTTCAGAAGAGCAATCCAAAAACCCCTTTAAAATGACGCACATAAGAAATGGGTCAGTCAAGTGTGTGTAGTCACTTCAAACACTTTTAGTAGAATTAACATGCATGTCATAATAAGTTAGACGAACTGAATGTTAGTTAAACTGAATGTTTCAAACACACAAAATGAAAAAATAAACATTTGGATGTTAATGTGCATAAAACAAACCTCTAGCACCATAGTTGCAACGAATATTGAAGAAATGTATATACCTGAAGAGCGCAATTCCTATAACGTAAGTCAATGGTTGATTCGATATTAAACAGACCTTGTATTTTTTATCTGAAGAATCAGTTAAACCCTTAGAGTTTTTTTTAGGTTAATTATAAGTATAGTTTTAAAGTTATAATAATATAGATTATATTATGTGTAATTATTTAACTATAAAACTATACTACCATATACAATAATTAACATATAAAATAAATTAACACATTTTAACTAACGAAAAACTACTTTGAATAATCATCATAAAATTATAAAAAAAGAGTTTTTAATTATCTTTTACTCGTTGATTTTTCAAACTAAAGAGCAAACAAAATATCACTCGTAAACAATTGTTTTGTTGAACTGGAGCAATTTAACTCTTTTCCTTTTAAACAAAATCATTCCACACTTGGTTTCTAATTGCGAGTTGGCACAATCTCTTGCGTTTTTTCTTAAAGTTTTGTATATTTCCTTTTTGACATTGTCGATATTATCGCCTTCTTCATTTGACATCTCATTCATACATCTGTCAATTTCTTGCTGCTCGAAAAAGCAATTCAGCTTCGTGCATGAAGATGGCACCACTTCACATACTGTACTCAAGTTTTGAAGTAGTCTCGGTACTAACCCGCATGCAATAAAGGAAGACACCACATTCTTTGATGTGGTCACTCTTTCCCACGAGTTGACAATCGACATAATTTGTACAGATATATAGGAAAGGTGACCGTATGTGTCATTCATCAACGATTTATCAGTTGTACATGCCCGTTTCTGATTTCCAAATATCCCCACATCACACATTTGCAACAAATGAGATGAGTGTGGGGGGAGTAGTATTATTTTGACGTTATTCTCTGTCAACATTTCTACAGCGCCTACTCCAAGATGAGAACCGTAACCATCCATTACAAGAATTGACATACCGCTATAACCATGTTTTCTTCTTTTTTCAAGCAATTCGGGAATAAAAACACTTCGGATCCACTCTTCAAATAATTGATTTGTCATGAACGCTTTTTTGTGTACTTCAGGCACGCTTTATTGTTTGTCAAACCCAATTCTAAAAGCTCCTTCTCAACACTTTCTGTTGGTATAATGAAAAAAGGTTTCAGTGCTGTGCCATCCATACAAATTGCTGCCATCAATGTTGTTCGACTTCCTGCGCGTCTAATGGGTACATTGACAACACCAGATCTTGGTCTATTTAAAAGAATGACCGTTCTTGTCATTTTATCTACCCACCTTTGGAATCCTGATTCATCACAATTGAATATGAAACTTACTGGAATGCCATTGGCGTACTTGGAGAGAAACTCAAAATACGCAACAATCTCTGTTGTTTGTACCTCCACTCTTTCCTCTTCCATCGGCTCCGCTTTTATGGTGGATAATTTGGCCATTTTGTTCACGGAAGTGTACAACATTTTGAGGTCAATATCCTCTCTCCCCAAAGTTGTTAGTACAAAAGAAAGCAACTCTGGATATCCAGCTGGATCTTTAGCGTCTTCCCGTAGTTCAATGAAGTTGATAATTTTTCTTTTCTCTTCCTCGGAAAAAACTCGACTTCTTCCTGAACTTCCAGGAGCTTTTATTACAAGAC